TATTTCACTGTGGTCTTTTACATACATCGGGTGAGCTTCCGTGATGACTCATCAACGCCCTTTTGTGTATATCACACGCAGGTGGCAATTTTTGTACATGGTTCTGCCGGACCATGTACAAGCACTCGAGCTATCATTGATGTCCCGTTGCTTAACTTCCTAGATGCTAAACATCATTTCCGCTTATAACCACGAAGATGGGACGGTCGCTGTTGAGTCGGCAACATAGAGAACAACATCCGACACACTCATTCTAGGTATACGGACGGGTAAGATCCGTATACCCCTACATTCATTCTGAATCATATACATTTAACACCAACTCAATTCCAACGCTTAGTCTCACAGTAACCTTCCTCTGTGGGGTATCTGTTGACTTCGGTAACTACACCGAACTTATCCCTAATTATAGATTTCATCGTGCATCAGTCGTTTAACCGACATTCTCATCCGGGAAATTTGGGAAGAGAAGATATTACGTGGATTCCGAAGGAACCTAAACCATCTGACCAGTCAGGACAAAGTACTGCGGGCAACTGGGCACCCGTAGTACCAGATTATGTGGTTCATGGTTCTCTCGACCCCATGTCAAGGCATTCCAAGGAAAGGCCGAGGATACATTATAGGCCCGGCATACTACAGGTATTTGCAGCACCTCTTTTCAATTACAGCAACATTGGGTCTTTCATCAAGGTAACATGCCCCCGGGGGGAACTATAGTGGAGTCATTGAATGCCAAAATTAATTGCGCAACATTTTATTATAAATTTCCTCACATTTATGAATTTTAATATTTGATTTGTATGGGAGACGCCACGCCCATGCCTGCTGGTCCGTCTTTGTAGGCTTAAAAAACTCATATTGAACTAAAGTAAATATTAAACAAGTTTTGAACTCTAACTGCTAGAATTTACCAAATATAGTACGAATTTTGATATTCAATTAATATGCATGATGCCACGCCCACTATTGATAATTCATCCATTTCTTTTATAAATGTTTAAATGCAAAATTTGATAACTCTAATTGTAATAGTTCCCCACATATACGAATTCTATTACTTTATTGTTATAGGGAATGCCACGCCTACTATAAATAATCTAATCCGCCTATTTTTTTTTTTTGTTAATATTGATATTTGCACCAAAGTTGCTCGTACAAATATCAAATGTAATTGAAATTACGTACTTAACGCAATCATTAAAACCCAAACCTACTAAAGAGTGCAACTATTAGGGCCCAACTATAACATTTCATTTATTTATAGTTTTTTTAAAAGGGGGATTAGTTTTCTTTTTCTAAGTGTGAACATATTTATATTTTAACTTATGTATTCCGTATTCGGCTCACCTTAAACTCGAAACTTATTTACATTTGAATTAATAGATTGACAATATTTTTCTATGTTTGAAAATACAATGACGTCGGCATGTTTGCTTATTCGCTATTGACTTTGACATTTTGAACTTTAAAATTAAGAACTTAAACAAATAACAAATGCGGAAATAGTGTTGGTTATTTTGAAATACATATGTATGTAGTAAAGTAATATACAACATTATTATGTTAGTAAAATAAGATGCTTAAGAAATTTATTGATATTTTTTTAGAAAATTCATTTAAAAAGCTGAAAATGGTAAAATTTTTGTCACATTTTTACGAATTAAATTATATATTTTATTTTGACAAGTTCTGGTACAACATGATTTGAACCAATTGGCACAAATTTCCATTAAGATACATCGTACAGTAAATTTTTATTTTCCAGAATATTTAGAACTAATAGATACAGCAACACATATTAGACATAATAAAACCAACAAAAGAATAAAAACAAATAAATCTACAATCGTACATTAGGCAATAATGGAAAATAAGAAAAATAACATATCCAAATAGAACACCACTAAAACACTGCACCTTTCATTCACTTAATGTATGTAAAATGTATATAAATACATTTTAATAAATGCGATAAATACAACAGAAATTATGAGCTGACAATTTACCTGTAAATAGTACTGCTGTTATTAGTACGTGAACGCAAGTACTTTCTTACATGTCATGTGTACGAGTATGAAACTAGTGTAAACATCCCACAAAAAAACAACAACAACACAAACAAACATATACACTAGCGACCACTTTATGCGGTTTACACTTCACAAAACAAAAGCAAACAATAATAAAATTTTTTATTAAGTGAAGTATACTCGCGTAGTACTATTTTTTTTGGAAATAAGAACACTGTGCTGTATGATGACGATCAAGTACTTACATACATATGTATGTATGTATATTAGCTGCATGAAATTATTATAGAAAACAACAACAACAATCACAACAACACTCATAATAAAACATTACGATAAGAAATGAATGCGCTTATCAATATTTAACCAAAAAAATATAACAAAAAAGCCAAAGATAACAAATCCTTATCTAATAAAATGTAAAAAAAAATAACAGAAAAAAGAATACAATTGTAACGAACAATTTAAAAGAGAGGAGAACAAAATACTTACACTGTGAACGAGGGTAGTAGAAAGAGTTATTTGAAAAAATTTCTTGAGTAAATTCTTAATACCAAACAACTTTTATATAATAGATATTTTTTTAAACCTTCATTCCTCCCGTTTTAAAGGACATGCCGCTAGACAGATAGCATAATAGAAATCCAAAATATAGACTTTCGGTGGTCTACAACCAGTATTTCGCCACTCCAGACAAGTTTGTGCTGATGTTTGTAAAACAAGAAATTATTGGCCCTACACCCACCTCTGCTCAGAATCATTTTCTGAGTGGATTTAGCTATGTCCGTCCGTCTGTCTGTCAATCTGTATACAACCATACCCCTTAAATAAGCCTTTTGAGCTCATAATTATTTAATGATCGGCGTCATTTGACCCTAGCCCCCATACAAACTCCCCTTTAGAAAATGGCATGAAGGTCAAAATTCACTTATAAAGCCTAATAACACTATGGAATTCCACTTAATTTTAAATTTAAATTTGATGTAGACGTAAACTCCTCTACCAAAATTTACAGTTAGTTAGTTAGTTAGTTAGTTAGCGAGTTAGTTAGTTAGTAGTTAGTTAGTTAGTTAGTTAGTTAGTTAGTTAGTTAGTTAGTTAGTTAGTTAGTTAGTTAGTTAGTTAGTAGTTAGTAGTTAGTTAGTTAGTAGTTAGTTAGTTAGTTAGTTAGTTAGTTAGTTAGTTAGTTAGTTAGTTAGTTAGTTAGTTAGTTAGTTAGTTAGTTAGTTAGTTAGTTAGTAGTTAGTTAGTTAGTTAGTTAGTTAGTTAGTTAGTTAGTTAGTTAGTAGGTAGTTAGTTAGTTAGTTAGTTAGTTAGTTAGTTAGTTAGTTAGTTAGTTAGTTAGTTAGTTAGTTAGTTAGTTAGTTAGTTAGTTAGTTAGTTAGTTAGTTAGTTAGTTAGTTAGTTAGTTAGTTAGTTAGTAGTTAGTTAGTTAGTAGTTAGTTAGTTAGTTAGTTAGTTAGTTAGTTAGTTAGTTAGTTAGTAGTTAGTTAGTTAGTTAGTTAGTTAGTTAGTTAGTTAGTTAGTTAGTTAGTTAGTTAGTTAGTTAGTTAGTTAGTTAGTTAGTTAGTAGTTAGTTAGTTAGTTAGTTAGTTAGTTAGTTAGTTAGTTAGTTAGTTAGTTAGTTAGTTAGTTAGTTAGTTAGTTAGTTAGTTAGTTAGTTAGTTAGTTAGTTAGTTAGTTAGTTAGTTAGTTAGTAGTTAGTTAGTTAGTTAGTTAGTTAGTTAGTTAGTTAGTTAGTTAGTTAGTTAGTTAGTTAGTTAGTTAGTAGTTAGTTAGTTAGTTAGTTAGTAGTTAGTTAGTTAGTTAGTTAGTTAGTTAGTTAGTTAGTTAGTTAGTTAGTTAGTTAGTTAGTTAGTTAGTTAGTTAGTTAGTTAGTTAGTTAGTTAGTTAGTTAGTTAGTTAGTTAGTTAGTTAGTTAGTTAGTTAGTTAGTTAGTTAGTTAGTTAGTTAGTTAGTTAGTTAGTTAGTTAGTTAGTTAGTTAGTTAGTTAGTTAGTTAGTTAGTTAGTTAGTTAGTTAGTTAGTTAGTTAGTTAGTTAGTTAGTTAGTTAGTTAGTTAGTTAGTTAGTTAGTTAGTTAGTTAGTTAGTTAGTTAGTTAGTTAGTTAGTTAGTTAGTTAGTTAGTTAGTTAGTTAGTTAGTTAGTTAGTTAGTTAGTTAGTTAGTTAGTTAGTTAGTTAGTTAGTTAGTTAGTTAGTTAGTTAGTTAGTTAGTTAGTTAGTTAGTTAGTTAGTTAGTTAGTTAGTTAGTTAGTTAGTTAGTTAGTTAGTTAGTTAGTTAGTTAGTTAGTTAGTTAGTTAGTTAGTTAGTTAGTTAGTTAGTTAGTTAGTTAGTTAGTTAGTTAGTTAGTTAGTTAGTTAGTTAGTTAGTTAGTTAGTTAGTTAGTTAGTTAGTTAGTTAGTTAGTTAGTTAGTTAGTTAGTTAGTTAGTTAGTTAGTTAGTTAGTTAGTTAGTTAGTTAGTTAGTTAGTTAGTTAGTTAGTTAGTTAGTTAGTTAGTTAGTTAGTTAGTTAGTTAGTTAGTTAGTTAGTTAGTTAGTTAGTTAGTTAGTTAGTTAGTTAGTTAGTTAGTTAGTTAGTTAGTTAGTTAGTTAGTTAGTTAGTTAGTTAGTTAGTAGTAGTTAGTTAGTTAGTTAGTTAGTTAGTTAGTTAGTTAGTTAGTTAGTTAGTTAGTTAGTTAGTTAGTTAGTTAGTAGTTAGTTAGTTAGTTAGTTAGTTAGTTAGTTAGTTATTACACAAATCATGATCTTCATTTCTTACTACTCAATAACTTTTCCAATTGCCCTCGTACCCATACGATTAGACTAGATAATGAGATGTCAGTGTATGAGATCGTTTGTGTTTTAAAAAGGGAGCAAAATTAGTGCATGAAATATGACAAAAAGGTAGAGTTTGTACAGAGAGTTTTTATGAATGTCTGATTGTATGTTTATCTGTCTTTTTTTGGTCTCCTCATATAGAGTATTGAGGAACAAATTACCTACGAATACTTAGTTTTAGTTCCAATTGAAACGGAGCGCGGTAACGGTTAATTTTTTTGTTTGTCGTTAATTTTCTACGTATACGTGTGTGATAGTGAGTGGTCGAACGGTCAATTTATTGTTCTTTTCGGTTTTTTATCGTATTTTCAAATGTTAATTGAAATTTCTCTTAAGTGATCTTGACAAAGTAATTAAGTGATTTAATTAAAATCAAAAAAATGCTTATGTAAAAAAAGAATATAACAAAATAATAAAAAAACAAAAAATTTATTTTCAAAAAAATAATAAATTTGCATACAGTTCTTGAGAGGTAAATTGTTTTTTACACACAAAAAAAAATATATAAAATCAACATTGAGTTATTAGCAATTAAAAACGTGTTTCTTAAGTGTTGATTAAAAAATTAATGAAATTGTTCTTTTCGCAACAGGTCTAAAAAAGTGTAAATATTTTGCAATTATTAAAAAGTATATAAATGTGCTGCGAATTTATAAATATTTATTACAGTAGTTATTGCAATTCTTAAAAAAAACACAGAGTAATGAGAGAGAGAGATGTTACTCATTTGAAATAATGTTGCCTCTAGATTTTCAAAGCTATAAAACTTTATATAAAAATTAAAATTTATTGTCCTGAATTCAAAGCCAATTAAATAGCATTCCCTGCTTTAATTAAACAAATTTTTCGATAAAAATTTCCTTTGCTCCAACTTTCATAAATATTTTTCTTTTCAACTACAAAACCAACAAATTTAATCAAATTTATACCAAATGTTTTGCCTGCCTGCAGAGAGACAATTAATTTTAGCCTGGCTATATACCAAAGGATTTTTTTCGATATAAATAAAAACCAAATTGTTACACAGTAATAACACAAAACTTAATTAAGACTTAAAGAGACACCTGCTGGGCTGTAAATCTACAAACAGCAGTAGTTGTAGACAAATTTAATAACATAACATAGATACCCACATACAAACATATACATATGTATGTGTAGGAAAAGAGGACACACATACAAAATTAAAACTAAATAGAATAAGTTTGTAAATAAAAATGAACTTACAAGATATTTAGAAAAATAAATATACAAGAGGAGAAAAAAGAATCTTATATAGATTTTATATAAAAGATACCCCAATAACCAATTTATTGAAAACAAAAGATAAATACAATTTGCAAGGTGACAACATAAACAAAAGACAACAAATACAAAGTGTAAAAGAACAAAAAATTGGCACAAAACAACAACAAGTAAATAGACAATGCAACAACATTGACATGAAAACAAATTTTCGTAAAGAAGGAGAAGATAAAATATGTGGAGAAAAAAAATCAAACAGTTACAAAGCAAATATTTTGTTCGCACAGAAACACCTTTCGTAATCATGTAACTGTGTTAGTTAACTATTATTTTGCAACTAATACAAACATACGTACATACATACATATCCAATCGTAGCGATATCAGCAGCAGCAACAGTACAGTATTTTTTTATGAAATAACAATAATAATAAAAGGATATCATGGCAAAAGCTTAAGCTTACTCACACACACACATAGATCTACTCATACACACTTGCAAAGGATATCAATATCTTTTATATTTTCATGATGATGTTCACATCAACATCATTCAATATGATGCACTACTAATACATACTTACATACATTTGTGGAAAAATTTTTTATAGATAGTTACAGTGAGTGGCAAAATTGGTTAGTTATAATTCAACAAGTTGAGTATAAACAAACTTGCCTTACTTTTTGTTAAGAACTAACTTTTAGGTCAATTATGAACCGATCCACAGTGGCTTAACTAATTTATTTTTATTTTCGTTATCTTGTCATTTGTTCACAACTCTATAGACTGGTCTGTTGACTACTCTATAGGCTGGTTTACTGACAACTCTACAGGCTGGCCTATTGACTACTCCATTGACTAGTCTATTGACTACTCCAAAAACTGGTCTATTAACCACTCTATAGGCTAGTATATTGACTAATCTTTAGAATATTCTATTGACTATTCTATAGACTGGTCTAATAACTACTCTATAGACTGGTCTATTGACTGTTCTAAAAATTTGTCCATTTATTTCAATAGCGATGATTTATCATCATTTTGATATGTATATCATACTTAGGAAGTAATGATTACAGTAATGATTACATAGATTACATAAATTACATGGTCCATTACAATTACTTGTAATGTGTAATCGAGCATCAACCACTTACAATTATTTGGAGTCTTGCCAATTAAATTACTTGTAATGCGTAATTGACCAATAAACAATTACAATTACTTGTAATTATAAATTTTCAATTACTTTTGTAATTTTTAATTAAACAATGTCCAATTACAACTCCTTGTAATTGAACAATTACAAATTACCATTACTTGCCACAGATAAACATATACATACAGTAATGATTACATAGATTATATGATTACATAAATTACATGGTCAGTTTCAATTACTTGTAATGTATAATCGAGCATCAACCAATTACAATTATTTGGAGTCTTGCCAATTAAATTACTCGTAATGCGTAATTGACCAATAAACAATTACAATTACTTGTAATTGAAAATTTTCAATTACAACTCCTTGTAATTGAACAATTACAAATTACCATTACTTGCCACAGATAAACTTATACATACGGTTCCACATTTGGAACAATTTCGCTAAATTAAAGAAAAAAGCAATTCCTAGTAAATTAAGGTGAGCACTTAACTTATAATTTTCACTGTACTTTAACCAAAACATCAACGAAAGACTACTGTTCTCTGGAAATATGAACAACGCACATGCAAAAGGGTATTTACTTACAAATTAAAGAGTTATACAAAAAGAGGTGTTAAGAATTTTGGTAAGCAACTACAATAAACATTTTTAGATTTTTAAATTACAACGAATTCTAAAGAAACTTTAAAACTTAGTCTAGACTACATACCGTAGAAAACAGTGAATTTGTTTTTAGGTCTTTTCCTTTCTAATCATTTTATTTATCACCTTTCTTACAACAAACTTTTAAAAACCCTGTACCACAGTTAAACTGGCATTATAAGCATCTAACATTTTCCTAGTGTATACGTGTATGTCCTTTTCTAGTTGTAAGCTAAAAAACAATAGTCTTGTACATAAATACGTTAGCAACAACTACAAACAACATATCTAATTTTGAGCATCTTTAGTAAGTCTTTCGAAAAAAAAAACAAGAAAAAAGCTTGTTTAGTTTACTATCACAATCAGTACTAACAACATGACTACAACTATTACCCTGCAGTTAGCGATGGCGGTACCGAATTAGTAGCTGGTCTAAAGACTAGTCCATAGACAAACCAAAAAAGACTAGATCATGGAAAAGTCAATAGCTTAGTTCATAGACCATTCCAGTTACTAGTAAATAGGACAATTAGGCAATCGAGTAGTACCTAAACTAGTCAATAGACCAGTCTATAGACTATCCAATACATCAATTAATAGACCAATCTATAGACTACTCAATATACTAGTTAACAGATCAGTATATAGATTGATTAATAGACTAGTCTATAGAAATTAGAATAGTCTGTAGACTGGTCTATAGACAATAGAATAGTCTATAGACTGGCCTATAGACAATATATAGTCCAAAAACTAGACTATATACCAGTCTATATACTAGTTACTAGAACAGTCCATAGACTATACAATACTTCAGTCTATAGATGATTCAATAGTACAGTCTATACGATACTCAATAGACTTGTCAATAAACCAGTCTATAGAGTAGTCAATAGACCACTTTATCGAGTTTTCAATATATAGACCAGTATAATAGAGTAGTCAATGTACCAGTCTATAGTCAGTAGACCAGTGTATATGAATATAGACTAGTCCAGATACTAGTAAACAGGACAATTAGGCAATCGACTAGTACCTAAACTAGTCAATAGACCAGTTTATAGACTATCCAATACACCAATTAATAGACTATTCAATAGACCAATCTATTGACTACTCAATAGACTAGTTAACAGATCAATCTATAGGTTGATTAATAGACTGGTCTGTAGACAATAGAATAGTCTATATACTGGCCTATAGACAATATATAGTCTAGAAACTAGACTATATACCAGTCTATATACTAGTTACTAGAACAGTCCATAGACTATACAATACTTCAGTCTATAGATGATTCAATAGTACAGTCTATAGGATACTCAATAGACTAGTCAATAGACCAGTTTATTGTGTAGTCAATAGACCAGTCTATGGAGTAGTCTATAGACCAGTCTATGGAGTAGTCAATAGATCAGTCTATGGAGTAATCAATAGACCAGTCTATAGATTAGTCAATAGACCAGTCTATGGAGTAGTCGATGGACCAGTCTATGGAACAGTCAATAGACCAGTCTATGGAGTAGTCAATACATCAGTCTATGGACAAGTCAATGGACAAATTTATAGAATAGTCAACAGACTAGTCTATAGAGTAGTCATTGGACCAGTCTATAGAATAGTCTATAGAGTAGTCAATAGAAAAGTCTATCGAGTAGTCAAGAGACCAGTCTATTAAGTAGTCAATAGACTAGTCTATGAAGTAATCAATAGACTAGTCTATGGAGTAATCATTAGACCAGTCTATGGTGTAGTCAAAAGACCAGTCTAAAGAGTATTCAGTAGAACAGTTTATGGAGTAGTCAATAAACCAGTCTATAGAGTAGTCAATAGACCAGTATATATAATAGTCAATGTACCAGTCTATAGAGTAGCCAGTACACCAGTGTATAGTCAATAGAAAAGTATATAGAGTAGTCAAAAGACTATTCTATAGAGTAGTCAATGGAGAAGTCAATAAAACAGTCTATAGAGTAGTCAATGGACCGGTCTATGGTAGACCAGCGTATAGAGTAATCAGTAGAAAAGTATATAGAGTAGCCAATAGACAAGTCTATAGAGTCGCCAATAGACCAGTCTGTAGAATATTTAATAGACCAGTCTGTATAGTGGTAAATCGACTACTTTATAAAGTGGTCAATAGACCATTCTGTTTAGTCTTAAATCGACCAGTATATAAAGTAGTCAATATGAACAATGGGCTATTATTTTTGCTATTCTATTGACTAGACATTAATTTCTAAAAGGGATACATCAAATTCCTCTAAAACTGTTGGATACTGACTGCTCTTTTTCTATTAAACACATACACAACAGCATCTAAGTATCACAACACACAAACTTACACACTTTTTTTCTAAATACACTAATACAACAAGATGAAAACTGCAACCTAGAGACGACAACACTTTTCCAAGTATTGAACATATTAGTAGTAGTCCTAGTCTTGTACTACGCGTTACGTTGTCACGTCAATAATACCTCAACTACTGCTATTGCTCCTGCTTTTACTACTGCTGCTCTTTATAGTCTTTAATAACTTGTTTTTTGTTCCAGTTTTGTTTCCTTAGACAGTTACAAGTTGCAAAACATAAAAATAGAAAAATTTTTTGAACTTTTGTACAACAAACCGTGCAACATAATACAAAAAAAAAAAAACACAATGTAAAGCATGTAATTTTATAAGGTGCTATGCCACTAACTTTGCCAGTGCTGTAATAAATATAAGTTTCTGAAAAGTGTTGTAAAAAATATTAAACTATTATTTATTAATGTGAAAAAAAAAAATATTGTAAAATTTGAAAGTTTTTAATGAATTTAAGTAATTTGAAACAAAAAAAGTTGCCAATCTAGAAAAAAGTTTAAAAGAAAGTCAAAACATTAAAAGAGTTGTCATACATTTCAAAACCTTGAATAGTGTTTTATTAAATTTTTTTTAATAAATTATCAAATTAATTTATGTATTAATTCCAGCAATTATAATGAGAATATAATTTTATTTTAATGTTTAAAATTTGTTTATTTGCAAAGAGTAAGTTTATTTAGATTTGTGTATGTGATTTTTTTGGGGTTTAATTATTATTGTAACTACCTTTATAGAGGTAGTCAAGTAGTAAACATTTAACTCGTTGTCAACTAATTAGTTAAATTGAAATCGAATTATTTGTTGTCTCACTTGAATTAACCACACACTCATTCAGCTTAATTATCAGTCAGTATATGCATATAGTATATTTGTATATGAACACACAAAAACACAACATATGTATGTATATACATATGCATGTATTTACCTAATAATAGGGTGCTTTTTCCCTACCGAAAATCTAAATTTACTCGCAGGATATGAATGTGAAAGTAATTCATGTAAAATATAAAGCTTCTAGCTCTAATAGTTCCTTAGATATACGAATTTTTGTATTGAATCCATGTGGGGATTCTAGCAGTCATCCCCCCAGATGAAAGTCCGCTCTTTTTCTCCAAATTTTTTTTTTAATTTGTGCAAAATTTGAAGAGTTTAGTTCAATTAGTTTCCCAGACAAACGAAATTTTGAATTTAATTCATATGGGAGGTGCCAAGTCCCCTATTGAAAGTCCGCCCATTACACTCTAAATATTCAGATGAATGTCAAAATTCTTCAAGTGAAATTAGAAGATTCTAGCTATAATAGTTTCTCAAATATACGATTTTTTCTATTTAACACATATGGGGGCTCCAAGACACCCCAAATGAAAGTCCGCTCTTTTTCCATCAAAATGTTCAGATGAACATTAAAGTTCTTCGTGCAAAATTTTAAGATTCTAACTGTAATAGTTTCCAAGATAAAAGATTTTTGGTATTTAATTTATATGGGAGGTGCCGCGCCCCCTAATAATAGTCCGCTCACTTTTTGTCCTAAATAATCATATTGACACTACAGTGGCTCCGATAAAATTTGAGGACTCTAACTGTTATATTATTTTAAATATACAGATCTTATATATTTTCGTAATCTGGACGTAGACTATAACCTCTTCCAGACATAAAGGAATACGCTTTGAAAATGTCAAGAAAATCGGTTCAGCCGTTCAGTAGTCTACAAAGTTCAAATATACAAACGTACGAACAAACACACAATAATTTTTATACTCTACACCACTTTAGTGGGGTTTGTGCTGATGTTTGCAACGCACAATAATATTGGTCCTATACCCACCTTAAAGTATACCAATCGGCTTAGAGTCGATTTAGCTATGTCCGTCCGTCCGTCCATATAAACCTTATAATCAAACTACAGGTCGCAATTTTGAAGATAATTCAATGAGATCTATTATCCCAGGGACGAAGCCTATTGAAAATGGTTAAGATCGGTCCATTATTTCACCTAACTCCATACAACTGAACTCCTACAGGGCTTATAAACCTTCTAATCAACCTACAGGACGCAATTTTGAAGATAATTCAATGAAATTTGGCACATGATCTTCTATTGTCTCAGGAACAAAGTCTGTTCGAAATGCTTAACATCGGTCCATTATTTCACCTAGGCCCCATACAACTGAACCCGACGAGTACGGCTTTCAAGTTTATAATTATGTTTAATATAATTGTATCTCGACAAAAAGCTGCAAAACCAAGTTCTAGCCATTATGACTCTCATTAATTTTATAATTATAGTGTCTCAATTGACCATCGCCCCTATACAATGCCCCCTTCAAAATTTGACTTAAATGTCCACAATTTTATTCAACAATAAATGGCTTAAGTATATCTGAGACAAGATACAATTTAACTTAAATGCTTTATTAGGAAAACTACTTCACATTTTATTTTTGTAACAGGTGTAGGGTCTCGCCCGACTATATTTTCTTACTAGTTTTTATATACATAGATACTTTCTGGATCTCAGATGAATATTTATTGGTATTACAAACGGAATGACAAACTTATGCATACATACATATATACTGTCTATAACCACTTATAATGTTATTGGATGATATAAAAAGTCTAAATCGGTTCACACGTGGAAAAGTTCTGAACAAGAACCACCCTAATCGTAGATCTATTTATGTGCAAATAATTTACACACACATACATACATATGCACACATTTTGCGGCATATTTATGTCTACTGAAGTAAGTGCAACATTTAACCAAAACAGTACGTGTTAAAAATTATAATAATGAAGCTATTAATTGGTTGTTAAAGTCGAATTGATTAAAAGTTTTTTAAGGTAAAAAAATATATGTTTAATATTAGGATCGGATCATCCTCAAAAGGTTAAAATGACTTTATATTTGTTAGGCCCAATTACGAACCGGCTTTAAAGCCGTTTGCTAAGGTTATTTTTTACGGGCGTTAGGATCAATAATGAGCCGATCCTAATAAATTTGACGAAAATATTTTGTTTTCTATTAAACTTATTTATGTCAAATTTCATAGCTATATATGTCTTTTTAAGCCAATTACAAACTATATAGGCATTTCCTGAATGGGGGGCTTACGTAAATCGTTTGCTATCTTGTAGTGCACTTAATTTACAATAAGGCTGATTAATTAACTTGTACGCTTATTTGTAATAATATGTGTTATGTATTGTTATAGTTTAACATCTACATATGTATGAATTCATGTATATGGGTGAGTGGTATTAATGGCAACTTTTAATTGGTTATAATTACACTCAAAATTATTTGTTAATTAACAAACTATGAAACATTTTTAAAAATGTTTTATGTTTATGCCAGAAAAAATTTCAACATAAATAATATGAACTGTTTTCATAGACTAAAGTTAATCAGATTTAAGAATAAGAATAATAGTATAATTTTTTTCATATTTATACGCTACACCATTTTAGTGGGGAATGTATATTGGGTTTGTGCTGATGTTTGTAACGCACAATAATATTAGTCCCTATACCCACCTTAAAGTATACCAATCGGCTTAGAATCATTTTCTGAGTCGAGTTAGCTATGTCCGTCCGTCCGTACGTCTGTCCGTCCATATAAACCTAGTAGTCAAACTACAGGTAGAATTTTTTTAATATAATTCTATGAAATTTTGCACATGATCTTCTATAGTACCGAAGACGAAACCTATCGATTCGATTGATACGATTTAGCTACATCCGTCCGTCCATGTAATGAAACTACAGGACGCAATATTAATGATAATTCAATGAAATTTGCCACATGATCTTCTATGTTACCGAAGACGAAGCCTATTGAAAATAGTTAACATCGGTCCATTATCTCACCTAGCCCCCATACAACTGAACCCCCGAATAGGGCTTGTAAACCTTGCAATCAAACTACAGGTCGCAATTTTGAAGATAATACAATGCAATTTTGCATATGATCTTCTATGATACTGGAAATGAAGCTTATTGAAAATGGTTAACATCGGTCCATTATTTCACCAAGTCCCCATACAACTGATGCCGACGAATAGGGCTTTCAAATTCATAATTATGTTTAATATACTGGTATCACGACAAAAAGCTGCAAAACCAAGTTCTATACTAGCCTTGATGATTCTCATGAATTTTATAATTATAGGGTCTCATTTGACAATAGCCCCTATTCAAAGCATGCTTTCGAGGAGTTTCTTATATAAAATCAGTAAAATCGGCCTCTAAATAATGGAGATCTGAGCAAACTTTCAAAATATTTCATGAAAATATTTGATTTATATTTCACAATGAAAACAACAACAACATATATGTAACTACATATAACAAGTAGTTGTTGTTGTAAGTTTTTATACACAACAAGTTTACAGCTGAAAACAACAACATATAGCTAATGTTTTAAGTGCAATTAACAGTTGAAATCAAAGATGGAAACAATGTATGAATGAAATTCGATTTTTTTTTTTTTTCGGAAAAATTTAAATATATTTTTTAATAAAATTTAACACCTTTATTATATTTAAAGCTTCTTTTACAGAGAAATATAACAAAACAGTTCCTAAATACTCCAAAAAAAATTTCTGATATTAAATATTCACTAACTATTTTATATTATAACTATATTAAACATGTTTAAATTACTTATAAATATTTTATATTTCTTTTATTCTAGATCAAAAAAAAAAAAATACAAATATTAAATACCAATTATCAAAAAAAATAAAAAATTTCAATAAAAATCCTTAATATCTAAAAAAAAAATTGTTATTTACTTAATCCTTTACAAATCTCTAGTGAATGTGTAAAATATAAATCCCAGAAAAAAAAGCTTTTCAAAATACAACTAAAATTTATAATACTGTGATAAATATAAAAAATTACATAAAATTTAACAAATGAAAATAAAAGTTACACAATAAATAACTAAACAAAAATAAAAACAAATAAAACAAACCAATAATTTCAAACCAAAAAAAAAAAACAACCAAAGTTTTCACAGTTACACAAAATTATCAAACTAAAAATGTTGCAATCCCTTAAACTGCGCACAGACAATCTTATGGAAGCTACAAATAATGGTATGGATAACCACAATAACAACACAAATAATCTAGTTGCAACAACACCGCCAACAACAGCCGCAGCAGCAGCTTTAACAACAAATCCACTACTAACAACTTTGGCAACATCAACGACTTTGTTAACGCCCGCAATAACAGCAACAACAAATTTAGTTAGAGAAACTTTGTCAACACCTGTTGCTCTGCATGCCAATGGTCTGAATGTTTTTAACAACAACAACAGCAGCAATAATCATATAGTAAACAATACCAACAACAACAATAATAACAATAATCATTTAAATAATATACACCACCTGCAACAATATCAAGCCAAATATTTAGAATCTGCCAATGCTGCAACAGCTGCCTCCGCCTCTGCTGCTCATAATGTTATAACAACTGCAGCAAAAAGTTTTCATCCTTATTTGCGTCCAGTAACAAAAAATACCTCCTCTACTTCACCACCCTTAACAGCAGCTAACAATTCCACTGCAACTTTGTCCACACCAACTAAAACAACTACAACATTGTTTCAAACACTTTTACAAAACCAAATAAATTCCACGGTTGTTGCAACAACAACAACACCAGCAGCAGCTGCTGCTCTAGCAACAACTATAACAACATCAGCTAATACTTTGGCCACAACAGCATCAAGTGGATTATTAACTTTGCCAACAACACCACCATCATCATCAGCAGCCGCAGCAACAACTTCATTAGCCAGCAACAACATGGAAAACCAATCCTCACAAATTAATCCGTAAGTTGTATTCACTTGTTCTCTTTTTTATGCTTGTTTTTATGTAGTTTTAATCATCATTTTAAACATACTTTTCTGTTGTGCCCCCCACTGCCTGTTGCATTTAACATGGCATTTGGATTTAAATACTAAATACTTGTTTTTTTAACTATACACCACCATCAGTAATCACAGTGGGTATATATAAGTTTAATATACCATGTGTAACACCAAGGAATATTCATCTGACACCCAACATACTATATATATATATATATGTATATATTCCGGGTCTTTAGGAAATTTAAGGCAATGTCCGTCTGTCTGTTGTTTGAACTATCCACCATTATCAGAGGTTTTTCCTAATTCCTAAGAAGTTTTATTTGTTTCAACCAGGGATCAATTATGTTTAAAATCATAACAACCGTTTCAAAATTTCCAATATCCCCCAAACATAGGTACATATTCCCGGAAATGAATTTATCGTTTATAACTCCTTCCAAAATATCGACATCACCACAAAGATATAATGTAATATTAATAGAAAACATATTACTTACCTGGATCCATATCGATCCATAATTGGTCATAATTCACACATAAGGTACACTTCAGAAAATCTCTTAAATGCACACAACTTATGAAGAAATAAAGATTAAAGTTGATATAAATAATTTTTGTGTCAAAATATTTTCCGCATCGATCCTTAATTGGTCCAATAGGTCCCATATAAGGACCACTTCTGGCAACCACACAAAAACTGACATATTTCATTACTCAATAAGTATACCGAGATGAAATTCGTTATGACAGCGTTAACAGTAGAAACACACAAACCATTCAGTAATTATTTTCCGTATCGGTCCATAATTGGTCATAGTACCCATAAAAGGTTTACTTTCGAAAATTTCTTAAACGCCATATAACATTGACCAAAAAATATAATATACGATATAAATATATTTTGAGTTTATTTAAATCATTCTAAGAAAAATTTTTGCCGGATCAGTCCATAACTGGTCATAGATCTCCTTCCGAAAATCACCAAAACTCTCATATTTTAATGATAATTAAATATATCTAAATAAATTTCCAAAAATTTGAAATCCAAATAATTAGCATATCGATAAATCATTTCGAAAATGGTGTTCGGATTGGACCATTATTGGTCATAGCTCCCATATAAGGTCATTGTTCGAAAATCATTTAAAAGAACATAATTCATTTTTAAATACCAATATCGGGGTAAAATTTGATAGGAATATGTTTTGTATATACACAAATCATTCTTCGAAACTTTTTCAGATCGGCCCATAATTGATCATGTTATGGACCTGAACAAAATTAGTTTCATATATGTATAAAGAAATTACTAAACTATTTCTAAATGATAGTTCCCTCATTATTATAAAAAGTAGCTAACAGTAGGAGGATATTTAAGACTCGGCATAGTCGAGTAAGGTAATCGATATACAGCCGAATATAGTATGTTAATTATACCCTACACCACCACTTCTCATAATCAATTCTTTAGTCGATTTAGCTATGTCCGTCTGCCTGTCTGTCTATCTGTGTGCCTGTCTGTTTGTGTGTCCATGTTAAACTTTTGCGCACTCTATAGGTCGCAATTTTCAAAATAATTTGATAAAATTTGGAACATTCTCTTGTTTTAACCCAAGGACGAAGCTTATTGAAAATAGTTAAAGTTGGTCCATTATTTCATATAGCCCCCATACAACCGTACCCCCCGAAAAGGGCTTTTGAGCTCATAAATATGTTAAATGTTCTTGTATCACTCCAAAATCGGCAAAACTTAGTTTTATATGTCTTAATAATACTGCTGATTTTGACCCTACAGCATACAAAGTCCACTTCAGAAAATGACTTGATGGTCAATATTCACTAACACTAATATCATGATGATATTCTGCATAAATAACTAATGTAACGTTAATCCCTCTACGAAAATGTATAAGGATAGGACCATATTAACCCCCACCGCCCCATATAACCCCTCTTTTAGAAAATCCCTTTTTTGTCAACAAAATATTGAATACTTTATTATTATAAAAATATGTAATCAACATTTTTAACATAATAAATGTGGGCAAGAAAACGTTTTATATTTAAAGACACTAACAGATGTAAAAACAAGTAAGAAATTATAGTCGGGCGAGGCCGACCATATAATACCCTACACCTGTTACAAAAATAATGTGATTTAGTTTTCATAATAAAGCATTTAAGTTGAATTGTACCATGCCTCAGATATACTTAAGCCATTTATTGTTGAATAAAATTGTGGACATTTAAGTCGAATTTTGAAAGAGGCTTTGAATAGGGGCTGTGGTGAAATGAGCCCCTAAATTAAAAAAATCATCAAGGCTAGTATAGAACTTGGTTTAGCAGCTTTTTGTCGAGATACGAGTATATTAAACATAATTATGAACTTAAAAGCCCTATTAGTCCGGTTCAGTTGTATGGGGGCTAGGTGAGATAATGGACCGATGTTAACCATTTTTAATAGGCTTCGTCTCCGGTACTATAGAAGATCGTGCGTCAAATTTCATTGAATTATCTTCAAAATTGCGACCTGTAGTTTGATTACAGGATTTACAAGCCCTATTAAGGGGTTCAGTTGTATGGGGGCTAGGTGAGATAATGGACCGATGTTAACCATTTTCAATAGACTTCGTCTCTGGTACCATAGAAGATCGTGTGCCAAATTTCATAGAATCTTCAAAATTGCGACCTGTAGTTTGAATTCAAGTTTTACATGTACGGGCGGACGGACAGACGAACCAACGGACGGACGGTCAGACCGACATAGCTAAATCGACTCAGAAAATGATTCTTAGTCGATTGGCATACTTTAAGGTACAACACTAAAGTGTTGTAGGGTATAAAAACTTTGAGGCCTGATGCTTAATGCTTTCAATAGGCAGAAGAACGGACACGATCTAATTGTCAGAATTTTTCAAGAAGCCAAGAAGATGAAACAGACAGACTAGACAGTGTAGGATGGACACACAATTGTTTAAAAACTAATTTTATTAATTTTATAAACTTTTGAATTAAAACACTTTTAACATGCTGTTATAATCATTTTATATGCTAAACAATTATTAAATATCATATTGAAGAAAAATATGAATATTTTCTTCTCAATATTTTATTTAACATATAAACTACTAAATTATATAAAACCTTCAATTTAAACTCCATAACACCTGGCATAAAATCTTTTTCTTGAAAAAAAAAGTATACAAATATCCCGAATTTACTTGCAACTACAGATACACTGTCTCACACACACACACACCAACATAAACAAGTACATTATCCTAAACTAAATTCAAAAATTTATATCCTTAAAGAACGTAACGTTTTCATTTTATACTTTGCCAAATATACATACATATAAAAACAAGTAAGGGTGTGGTCGGTCAAGGCCGATCATTTGATACCCTACGCCAAATGAGGCCCGATCATTACGATTATTATCGGCAGTATCATTTATACTTATATAAAACTAAGTCTAGCCGATTTTTGTAGAGATACAAGAACATTAAACATAATAATTTTGAGCTCAACAGCCGTATTCGGGGACAGACAGGCAGACAGACAGGCAGACAGACAGACAGACAGACAGACAGACAAACAGACAAACAGACAGACAGACAGACAGACAGACAGACAGACAGACAGACAGACAGACAGGCAGACAGACAGACAGACAGGCAGACGGAAGGACCATTTTTGAGTGTTACAAACACCAGCACAAATGCATAATGCTCTCCCCAATATAGTGGTGTAGGGTATAAATAGAAAAAACTCCTAAAAATAAACTTCAACACCAACCAGACAAAATGCCAAAAAAAGTAACGACGAAAATTGAATTTTTATGTTTTACATAAAACAATTCTTATGCAAATTATTAATCCATCTTTAAGCAGGAAAACGAAGACGTAACAAACACAAATATAAAAGCAATAAAAAATCTTGATGAAATAAAAAGAAAATTTTGAAATTTTATTTCCTTTTTACCATAAGTTTTAAATGGCAAAGACTAAAAATTTCAAACATAAAAAAGCTATGAGTTGTCAATTTACACGCATGTTTGAAATTTTTCACTTCAGATACGAAAAGGTGACAATTTTCCGGGTTCTAGCCAGAAATAGCTATAAAATATATAGAAAAATGAAAAAAAATAAAAGGTGTAAATTGCTAACATAACTTTAGGTTATAAAAAAACATAAAAAAAGGAATAAAAACACTAGACAAGAAGGCGAGTGAAAATAGTCATTGTGTATGGAACGCCTGAGGTGGTGCTGAAAACAACAAAAAAAATATTAAATAAACGCTTTAGCAAGTGATAAAAAATATACATATAAATTTTTATTAGAAAATTTGAATTAAATGAAAGGTAAATGATTTGAGTGTGAGTAAGTGAGTGTGGCAGGGTTTAGAAATTAATTTAAAACAAGAGGATTAAAACATGACCAATGAATAAAAATTTTTTCACAAAGGAAAATGATGAATGTATACTGAGGCATTCAAAACAGATGGTGAATCAGTCAATTACTTGGTCATTCCAATTTCCAACCCTATAAAGTTGACATATGTATATATGTTGGTATATGTACTGAATCCTTACACACAGGAAGTAATCTATGCGTAATAAAGACGAAACATGTCGTATATTGAACGAAATCATTCGTGATTTCGGAAGTGTTTCGCAATATGGAGGGAATTGTACAAAATATTTTAGTATGATTTAACATACCCACTGGTGTTGGGTATCATATGGTCGTTCATGCCAGCCTATACATAATTTAAAGTAAATATTATTGTTTTAAATAAAAATATACATATTGTGTAAAGAAGAGCGAATAACTAAAACCATTTCAATAAAACATTTACTTGTTATGTTAGTTATGTTAGTTAGTTAGTTAGTTAGTCAGTAAGTTAGTTAGTTCGTTAAGTTAGTTAGTCAGTAAGTAGTTATTAGTTAGTTAGTTAGTAGTTAGTTAGTTAGTAGTAGTTAGTTCGTAGTTCGTGAGTTAGTTAGTAGTTACGTTAAGTTCTTAGTTAGTGTCAGTTAAGTTAGTTAGGTAGTTAGTCAGTTAGTAGTTAGTTAGTTATTAGTTAGTTAGTTAGTTCGAGTTAGTTAGTTAGTTAGTAGTTAGTTAGTAGTTAGTTAGTTAGTTAGTTAAGTTAGTTAGTTAGTTAGTTAGTTAGTTAGTTAGTTAGTTAGTTAGTTAGTAGTTAGTTAGTTAGTTAGTTAGTTAGTTAGTTAGTTAGTTAGTTAGTTAGTTAGTTAGTTAGTTAGTTAGTTAGTTAGTTAGTTAGTTAGTTAGTTAGTTAGTTAGTTAGTTAGTTAGTTAGTTAGTTAGTTAGTTAGTTAGTTAGTTAGTTAGTTAGTTAGTAGTAGTTAGTTAGTAGTTAGTTAGTTAGTTAGTCAGTAAGTTAGTTAGTTAGTTAGTTAGTTAGTTAGTTAGTTAGTTAGTTAGTTAGTTAGTTAGTTAGTTAGTAGTCAGTAGTTAGTTAGTTAGTGTTAGTTAGTTACTTAGTTAGTTTAGTTAGTTAGTTAGTTAGTTAGTTAGTAGTTATTAGTTCGTTAGTTAGTTAGTAGTTAGTTAGTTAGTTAGTTAGTTAGTTAGTTAGTTAGTTAGTTAGTTAGTTAGTTAGTTAGATAGTTAGTTAGTTAGTTAGTAGTTAGTTAGTTAGTTAGTTAGTTAGTTAGTTAGTTAGTTAGTTAGTTAGTAGTAGTTAG